TCACTGGTGATATGTATCTAGCTAGGAGGAGGATGACAAATCAAGCTATGAAGTTCCTCTTTTTTTCCTTCACTGAAGAGATTTTACTAGAAAAAGGATTCCCAAAAGCTTTCCTCCACTGAGACTTGAAAGCATTTGAACTTTGTATTTGTCATTTGGCCATAAGAATGGTAATGTATCTAAAGGTGGATTTCTTCTACTATTTCTTTTACTTTGCCTTCATTTTTTCAGGTGTATTGTCAGCTTTTTCACGAAGCAGGAAAAGTGGCTTCCTTTAGAGTTTTGTACCCCCATTCCAGAAATATAAAGAAAAATACCCTTGTATATCTGTTTAGATAGCGAGGTGATGCAGGCAGTAAAAACATAAATCATGAGGAGCACTTTATGGACTGAGGCCACTGATAAATACTACTTCTAGACAGACAAGATGGGAAGGAGAGAAGTTTAAATGGAATACTGCATTTTTCAGTATGTTTTGAAGGTAACAATATTCAAGGCTTGATAGTTTTCTTAAAAAGACACCAGTGAAGATCTCACTACCATTTGGCTTCCTGAACATTTTGTGTGCGTATGCCCATCTTTCTCACTGTTGCATTTAGCTAGCGTTTTGGTAACAGGACTAGAAAGCCTGATGAAGTACATTACTTATGGGGTGCTTTAGTTATACAGAAACAATAGCTTTAAAGGAATACCAAATGTTCTCCTCACAGGAGAACATTTCTAGAGCTAAAAATCCCATTTATGTGGCCTTTTGCAAATGGGAGAGTAAACAGCACTGCATGCTAGAACACCTGTTACACAATTCATCCAGGGACACAGCCTCTATCATAGAATCACAGAATGGTTTGGGTTGGAAGGGACCTCAGAGATCATCTAATTCCAACCCCCCTGCCATGGGCAGGGACACCCTCCACTAGACCAGGTTATAAATTTGATTATACATACATGTTAATAAATACGTGAATGTCAGAAGGTAATAACAGATACCAAGTTCTTTCTCCCTTTTCTCTGTGGGGGTGATGAAGTTGAGGGAGGTGGCCAAGACGAAAGGAGATTGTCGGATGTAGGGCTGCAAGTGTTACAGCTCCCCTAGTCTGTGAATATCTTTTAGACCTAATCATAACAGAGTGTGTAATGCAGCTTCTGAAAGCAGATGACTGAAAGCACCCTGAAAGTGCTCTGTACCCCTTCCCACTGGATGGGGAGATGGATGACTTGCTATGTTCCTTGGACTCCAACAAAATGAAAGCGGGTTAAGCTTTAGTCAGGAAAGAGCAATTAGCAGTTCCTAGAAGTAATTATAATTTTACATTTATAATGGAAATTTATTTTTCCACGTTTTAGAAGCAAAATATTATCCTACCTCTCTAGTATTCTGCTATTTACGAAGCAGGATGATATACAAAGATGATTTACATACGATATACTCCTCCGCTGCAGCTTCTTTCCAGCCTGTGAGATGTTTTGTTTGCTATGAAGTACGTGGAGGGTGCCACTACGGCTGTGTATCCTGCTGCTTTCAGCAGGTGTGCTCACCCACCTGCTTTCTTGCAACTCCGCAGGAGAAAGACAAGTTGTGAAAATGACAACGGCGCACTCCGTGTAAGCACAGGATGAGAAACATTTTATTTATAACTCTGTCATATTGATGCTACCCTAACCAAAAATAAGCTTGAAAGTAATCCCCTGACTTGCTTCTCTGGATTCTCCAGTTTCTTGAAATGCAATGCATAAACCAGAGGTTTGTACTTTGCTTTGAGACAGTCATAGCATCACGGAGAAATTGTGAAGGTCAGCGGCACTGTGGACAACTCCACATCCATCTGTGTCTTTTAAATTATACTCGTGTCTCTCCCTTATTGCCAGTTTTGGTCTGTCTCCGTTTTTCTCATACAGGTCTGGAATGGTTGCCAAAGGGCCAGACAGAATCATTACGCTGACTTTGCTAAGACTTCTTCTGACACCTGTAATTGTAGCATTTATTCTGAGCCAGGGAGCACGATATTGAGGCCTGACACAACTGCCAAAGTATGACACGGGCACTTAGTGCAAGAACTATGGTACTGACAGCTTTACAGACAACTTAAAAAATTTCTGTTCTGATGTCTCAAAGGGACCAAACAACCAGACATCTGATTTCCAAATGCAGTTCTTTCATACAACCCTCGAAATTATATTTCTGTCTACGGTAGGAAGTCCTGGGTACTGAAAAAAACCTGTAAATAAATCTGGTTGCAAATACCACATTCTTAGTCTGTTTTCTCAAGCTGAAGCCAAATATACACATTAACGCCACTGGCCAATTCTTGCTGTTTTACCACAAGCCTGACATAGAATTTCATGTACCTGCACTGTTGAAAAAACATCATTATGTGAGGTCAGCATCTTTTCCTTCCCAGAAAGTTTCTAGTCCTGACAGTTTTTTCAGTGCAAAAAGGCTCTAAAACAAGACAAAAGTAAATCTAATGGCTGACCTATCTTTGCTGTAACTATACTATTTACTATATAAAAAAATGGGGTTTACATCTTGCTTTAGGAAGTACTCCTTTCTCCAGCAGTGAAGCCCACTGAAAACAAGCCACAGCTGGATTAATAATAAAGCAAAGTTGGGATGCAGGTTTACAGGAAAAAACCCTAGCCTGTCAGTTCTGTTGCTGACATGGAGGTTTACAATGGCTTTCAGGCAGCTTGATATGGTAGAAACTCATAAAGGAAGGGCAAAAAATAGTATTACATTTTCTAGTTTAAACTGTGTATTTTTATATAGCCTTGCTTTGTAAAAGGTGAAGAATGATTACATTTTTATCAAGAAATAGTATGGGCTTAAGGCTAGTAATCTTATTATTATATTATAAACTTACATAGCTTGCAGTATTTCTGATGTGCTCTGACAAACACACTCCATCTTGCATTCATGACAAAACTCTTGCAGAGGTGGTTTTCAGCAACTGCCGTAGTATGACACATGCTTATAGCAACTGGACATAAGTGCTGGCGGGTAAACATGGTATGTAATGCTATCAGTCAGCACTGTGGCAGGCTGCAATGAAACGAGGGCCTCAGGTATTTTCTTCTTTTTTTTTTTTTTTCTTTTTTTACTGGGTTATAAATCAATTAGGTTGGTTTGAAAATTTCTTCTGAAACAAAAGTTTTATCAAGTGTAACGCTGAGAATTGGGAAGAGTCATAAGCATAAGTCAGAAGGTGTTATTGACTCTACTGCTTTCAAGAAAATAACACAAAGAACAACAGGAGTCAGTTGCTTTCATTATTTAAAGACATCTTTCCAGATGGACATTAATGCTGTCAATAACTGTAGGTAAAAATAAAAGTTTATCAAAGTTACTTCATTGCGCTATATCAAGCACCATGACCATTTCTCATACTTGCAATAGGGAGCCACCAACACGTACTTCCATAGCTTTCGACTATGTGTAAAACTGCGGGCTTGTTAGTCTTGACAAGCATCCATCGAGAGACGAAAGAAGGCAGACAAATTTATAACTGTGCTGAAACTAATGGATATGAAATCACTTCAGGCAATCTCAACTGCTCTTCAAAGTTTTCTAAAAATCCCTTTGGCCTGCACAGTAGAAGTCAGTTATACTGTATACAGTTCAGAAACTCCAAAATGCCTTGTAGTTTAACAGACTGACATCAGGGGCTGCTCTGCCGTAACGTGTGGTTACTCTGCTCTGCTCACAAACTGTGATGAATGCGTGATTCCTCTTCATTGCATACTTTCAAACAATATGGGGATCTGACTGAAGTCAAGCTTGCAGTGCTTAACATAAAGCAAAGTTATCCAGGTCTAACAAAGTATTATGTTTAGTTGTTATGACTATGCAAATGAGATTACTAGAAGGCAGATGAACAGGATGGCTAAAGTCCAGTAAAGTATTACTAAAGGTAATAACTATATTTGTGGCATTGTGTGAGGCAATATTGCATGAACCTTAGAATAGTCCAAATGTACCATTAAATGAACTTGTAATAAGGGCTGATAACCTAACACCAGTGTGTGTTTAACGTAGGGATAATTAACTAGTGAACTAAAAAGCTCATAACATATGGTAGGTAACTACAGAAAAATGCATTAGCTGGTGCTTAAGCAAGTGGTTAAATGTAAGAAGCTAAAGCTTGAAATTTTTTGGTTGGTGCTACTTGACAGATGGGCATGACTGAGTCTGACTATTAATACACAAGGTTATGCTTGCTATCTGCCATGTTACACTAAGGAAGAAACCCAGGTGAGAAATCTGGTCATGAGTTGAGCTTTTCAGTTTAGGTAAACCTGTATGAATCTGATTCCCAGGAGATTTAGATTAGCTAAGTTAATGGAAAAACTGCGGGTGGGGCTGAGCTGCTACAAAACTGTCTTTTCTTAGTGGAGCAAGATGGTAAACGTCAGAAGGAACAGACAGTAATACCATCCTGCATGCTGCTAATCTATTTAGAAGATACCAATATTGAAACCTTTATCTTCAGTCATTTGCCATGGATGTCTCTCTCCACAATCCATATTCTTACATGCCCTTCGGCTAGATCCCCTTTGCATCACTAACATACATTCTTATTTTACCTCCTTATCTACACAAAGGCATCCAGAATGAAAACAGAGTTTGTCTACACTTAAAATATCACTTTATTGCAGTGCTAGTGGGAAATCCAAGCAAAGGAAGACAAAAAGCTCCCCATCCAAACCTAAAATCTTGGAAGATTCAGTTTTTGGGTGTGTAGAAGCATTATTCAGCACTACACTGTTCATCACAAGCTATTATTTTCCTCTGTCAAAAGTGTTTGCTATAAGTGATGGCTCTACTATTTTTCATTGGCTTCACTTCAAATCCTGCATCTGTTACTATGAAAGACCTTAATGGAGGCCCCAAGAGGCTACATCCTGTAACACAAAGCTGCAAGATACGATCAAGAACACCAAACAATTCTTACACCAGTATCATCCAATACTCAATGAGATGAGCCAGCAACTTTGGTCATTGGCTATCTGTTGTCTTCTATGATAATGGTTCTTCTAGGATAGGTGTCAACATCCACAAATATGTAGCGGACCTCAAATCTTCCTGTCTCAGGATTCTGCAAGGAAAACAATTTCAGGCTCTGTTCTTTTCTCTTTGGTAGTTTAAATTCAAGATTAAGCTTGTCAGCTATATCAAGCAATTGCACATACCTCTTTGACTTCCACATGGACTGTTCCCCGCTTCCCTGATTCAGAGCCCTCAATATAGAACTTCAAACGCATATGTTTCAGTCCATCTTTTACGTATTCAATATGACTAAAAACAGCAAAACAAAAAACCAACCCACTCAGCAAGGATACATATTATATGCTAGTTAAACTTCAAATTCAAATTTCTTATTTAGAGGAGCTGCTTAACTATTTTGTGAGGAAAGTGTATTCCGATGCAGTCCTTATGCTACTATGGGCTCCTTCTCTACTGCTCTTCCCAGGCTTTACTGTGAGTGTATCAGGAGTAGCAGAGTTAGAAGAAAGAGCTAATTAGCAGTTGAGGATTAACAGATGAAGTGCTTAAATGTCCTCACTCCAGTCTTCCCCTCAAAACTCAACAGCAATCCAATGGCTGAAGATTCTAGAATCTCCTTGTTTTGATTCTGAAGAACTCCCAGATTCAGAGCCTGACATCTAGAAAGGAACACCCACATCACCAAGTCTGCCAGGGTCTTTTTTTATAAGTTACCAAGCCAAAACACACAAGGAATGTTTTATCAATTATCAGGTTGGTTAAATCACATCAAAACAGTTTACTATATGCTTTACTTATTTTGGCAATAATTTTGTTCTACTGAAGTTGAGCAACTTTGGCACTGGTATCAGATTTCCAATCTAAATGCTGATATTTAGACTGGAGTTAGGTTACGCCCAAATATTAGATAAATAGAAAGGTCATGTCACTTTCAAAGCAACCACTTTCAGAAACTAATGGTCAAACTGGAGTTCTGGTGCCAGTTTATGTTTCCTACTGAAATGACTAACTGCTGCTTACTACCAAGCTCTTATTTCCATCAGTCATGCCCAGATACACACTGCAAATTAAACTTCCAATACAGTTTAAGGTGACACAATGGGTTACAGAGAACAAAGACGAAGAGCCTTACTGCAGTAAATTCACATTCAAGGTGTGAAAAATTTCATCTATTTGACTGTCAACTTCAGTCAGGTCCCTGCTCCCAAGATGCATGCCTAGACCTCTGCACTACTCTCTTCAGACTCATCCTATTTTTTGGAGAGATCAGCTCTATGTTTACCATGCTGACCATGGCTTGTTTCGAGGCACTCAGCACTGGCATTTTATAGCGTATGTGCACTGTATTTAGTGGTATGTGCCACATAACAGGTACTGCAGAAAACTGCTTTCATTTTCACTCAAAAATGACAGGGTATGTCACGTACAGTTCACTAATCTAGATCTAACTTGCTGTGATGTGACCCAAAATGTATTTGCCATGCAAAAACTAGTGTCTGTATGGGGCAAACACCAAAGAGCACCTGACAAACTGTCGTCTTCCTCTTCTTGTTGCCTCCCCATAACCTTTAATAGATTCACCAAAAACACCAATTATCTACAAGAGAAAAGAGATTTGAGTTGTCAGAAGGTATCGCATTCAAACAGATATTCCAGTACCAGCTCATGCTCCTGCTGTGAATGCATTTTCTTTCAACAAAATGCCCCTTGTGAGTCTGATATGTCAAGAATAGAAGAGTTTATGAAATAAAAGTGTAAGTAAAATTCCTCTGTATTTCAGTGCTTTTCTTTACAGAGACATATTAAATGTCTAAAATAAATCCTACTATCTTCCATATTTGTACCATCCTCTGTGATTATGACATTTTAATCTCTCTTCTTACTGTGTATTTTATACTTTACTGACATTTTGTCTAAAAAGGAAAAAGAAGCATGAAATACTTGCTCATGTCTCCTCCAAGAGAGTATGTTTCAATGTTTCAAATAGAAATGCAGTCTCCTTCAACATTACCTAAAAGCCGCTACCATTTGAGAATTTTTTTTTTTTCCCAGATCTATAAAGCCAGACCAAATTAAGCTAGTTTTAAACTTAAAGTTGCTTAGAAAGGGAGGGTGATTTTTATTGTTTAAGTACTGGAGAGAATTTTTAATTCTACAAACTTGTTCCAAAGCAGTCTTCATTTTTACTCTAGTGACAACTTGTCACTTCATTTCTAGGTTATACTCAGTGGCATCTGTGGCAATCTCGTCTGAAAGCTATTCCATGCATTTCTTGTTTTGCCTCAAGCAGTGGTTTTTTAGAATCCAGTTTTAGATTGATTTTTGTTTACATCTAGCCGTCTTATGGAACCCTGTGATCACACAGCTCTTCTCTTTCTCTTTTCCTGTTAGCCACAGGAACGCTAACTGTGTTTCAGAAACTGTGTTTCAAATTCCTGACTACTTATGCAGCGCTTCGAAGAATGAAAGAACCCTAATGAAGTGTCGCAAGAGAATAACTGTGCTGAGGAAAGGCAGCAAGCCCCATCCGCAAAACTTAAGTGGGACCAGTACCTTCCCTGACCTGCAGAAGTCCTTAAACATTACATTTAGTACGCACTCAGGTATGTCTGTAAGACCTGTATGGAGAAACAAGCACGTGCCCTGAAGGGGCTGACGCTGTAGTTGCACCAGTTGTGCCGTGGTATGCTCACTTACCTTGGCTTTTCGCAGGCTAATTCACTCAGGCTCACTGCTTGCATTAACTTGTCCTAATATAGGCTCCAGTTTGGAGCTGATCCACTGCTGGTCAGCTAAAAGCCTAGGCAGATCTGCTGGTGTTTGCCTGCTAAGCACCACCTGGGTCTTCCTGTAGCTTTGCTTGTGACATTCCTTGTGCAAACTTTTGATTCCAAGAGAGACAGTAACTACTGAGAAACATAAACTTATGACTAAGGTGCAAAAACCAACCTCAGGGTGAGATCTGCATTTCTCCAAGGCATGTCCGTAGATCTTACTTGGACTAGAAGAAGAGAATAGCTCTTTAAAAATCACATAGAACAAACCACCTGTAACAGAAACAACAGCAAATGGAATGAAAACTAGTGAAACCAGATGGCATTAATGAAAAGTGTCTTCCGATAAAAGAACATAATTTTAAAAAATAACCTGTAACACCAATTCCAACAAGCACCACAATAAAATAGGTGAAGTCTCTTCCAGCTTCTTTCACTGAAATAGAAAGAAAACAACACAGGAGTTATAGTCCTGGATAGTAAGATTGCATTGCTTTCTTATATAAATGCTCTTCTATTAGTCTGCAGCTCAAATAACGTTTTGACAGAAGAAAAAAATTCCAGTAACTGCTCCCATAATGCATCCTGGCTAAAAGAAAGAGACAATGGAATGTCTCTTATGTTGTGCAGGGCATACTTTTATCTCTGTATTAAGCCTTATTATTTTCTGTTTTCCTGCTACGTGTTTTCAAGACCCAGAATAGCACTTATTATTACTTTTCATGTAGCATGAGAGCTAGTTTCTTTAAGAACTAATGAGGTATTTAGCACTGCAATTTTATGAACTCTCAATCAAGTGAGCAGTAAAAAGGAGGTATATTAGACCAAAATGTGTAGTTTATTTATTGAGACCATCAAAAACTTATCAGATAAGCTGCAGTTATCTATTAGTTTTGACCTGATGTACTAGTAAAAGTGTCAGTATACATTCAAAAAAAGTCATGCGAGATTCTCTGTTACAAAATATTTTTTGAAAACTTGGAAAGTGACTACTGATCTGCTTAAGTGATAAAGTATGCCTTTCAGTGAAGTACAAGTTACCAAGGAAACTTTAGTAACCTTTTTTTCCTGCAGCCTTTTAATCAGTTGAGGATGTTTTTCATAAACCTTTTCAAAGCACTTGGAATTTCTGAGGCTAATTATGTAGTAACCACTTTTCACTGAAATGAATGAGACCAACCAAAGCGACAGCCATCCTATAAAGAAAGTAGTACCACAGGCAGAGCTTTGACAATTTTGCTGGAATCAAACTTGTTTTAACAGCATGGAGACAGGTTGTGTGTGACAGGTTTTCCTTTCGAAAAGGGAAATGAGAGGCTGCTACATCTTATCCCTGATGTGACTTAAACACTCAATCAACAAGCTGTTTGGAAGAAGCCACATCATTTTTGTTCTGCTTGTGCAAAACGTACACTGAAATGTATCAACTGCTGCAAACAACACGATGTGAAAAGAAACGGGGTCGTTGTTTTCTGATAATTGTTGTGGTTTTTTTTTTTTTTTTAATTCCAGAGTTTTGGGGCTATAAAATCTCAACTGCAGCAGTAACTTTCTCCGTGCCAGCATCTCTGAGCAGCGCCCAGTATGCCCGCTCACGAGTGCCTCCAGCCCGCCTTACCTTTCTGAGCAGCCGACAGCAGTGTTTCTTCTTTCGCATCCCTTTGCACGGACACATGTTTGCTATTATCGCCTCCTTTTTCAGCTTTTAAACCCCCCGCTCGCGTCCCGATACTCT